ATATATATATATAACACAGCTGTGCATGATGCACTTACATGAAAGTAAACATGTTTTAAAAGAAATAAACTAACTACATTGCTTTTTAAAGCAAATGCTTTTTAAAATTTCCCTTGAAGAAAATGCAATTCTTGAAGCAGTGGATCTGAATGCAACAGATCAAGTACCAAGTCACTACATCCAAAATGAAAATAATTTGCCTGCCATTAATGCTGAATATTGCTGGATGAATATCCAAACTATACAATGAAAACTCTGAGCCAAAGGATTAAAGTCAACTATTGGCAGGGCCCTGAAAAACCAAAATAAAACAAGGTAACTGTTTCAGGGTGCTCAATCATGCACTAACAATCCACACCTGTTAAATTTTAGCACTATTAAACTTCTTCAGGATATCTACAACTATCCCAATTCACCCTAAACTTACCCTACAGATAATCCTGTAACATGAGATTTTGTACACACACATTGAGAGCCACTGTACCAGAGTCAAATTCCTCATGTGTCCAACACACCTGGACAATAAAGCTGATTCTGATAATATACTTTGTATTCATCTAAACTGCAGTCATATGTCTTACAACCATTTTGGAAGGAAGGAAGGTGTCTCACCTGTGGAAGAGATAATGGCAAAGACTTCCTGTAGTGAGGGAAGCAGTGTGGCTGGGTCAGCCTTCCAGATGTTCTGCAGAAGTGTGCTAACCTTGGTCACCTGACCTACATACTCTCTGAGCTCCCGCTCCTGGCTGGCAAAGCAGTGAAAATAACTGATGGTCCTCACCAGCTGCTGACAGAACAAAACACCCGACTTGTCTCTCGGTATGCACTGCACAAAGTCGGACAGCAAACTGCTCAGGCGGGCACAGAGAGCTGGCTCTGGACGTTCACACACCATCCTCAATACCTCCACCTGGATCACACTGAAGATCTCCAGCACTGAGGGGCAGCTGATGATCAGCCGCAAGCAGCAATGAATGTAGTCTATTATGGCTGGGTCTTTGCGGTCCAGCTGGCCATAGCCCTGCTGTAAAAGCCCAAGGACCAACTCTTTATTGAAAAAACACTCAAACTCTGGGCGGTGATAGCGTGCATACGCTTCCAAAACTTGGACGCCAATCTGCTTCTGGAAGGCATCTTCACCAAGTAAGATGAGGCGGGTGGTGAGAGTAAACAGTGCCTGACACTGCTCCTCTGTCATCTCTTTCTCTGCTGCTTCCACTACCTTCTTCACAATGGCCCTCTTCACAAAAATAGAGTGATCGGAGCTCACAAGGCCCTCCAAAATCTTGTCCATGATGACAGTCTGTAGAAAGCAAATTAGAAAATAATTAGTTAATACTTGTAAATACTGTAGGTAACACAACAATCAAAATAAATATTGATGACATGTAAAGATACAGGAGGGTTTGGTCCTGTCCTTGGGGTCTTTTCACCCCAATTGTTATGTCACATTGCCTATATTTGTCCGTCAGTTGCACGTCCACACCGTGGATGTATTAGCTCCCACAGCATCCTTTAAGTAAATGGCCATCATCTTTTAATCTATTATCCAGCTCTGATAATACATTAAAGTCAATCCAAGTAGCCTAATCAATACCAAATGAGCAGCCAATCATAAAACTGGCTCAGCCCAGTTTAACTGGACTGTCAGACACAATCATTCTGCTAAAAAACGGCATTATGAAATAAAAGGAACACTGGGAGAAATGCAATGTAAAATAAAAGCCAACATTTGAAAAACATTTTGAAATAAAAACTGCTAAAATTAAGTTAATTTTAAAAAAGGATCTATTTTGCATCTATTTTGAAAACGAGCATGATGAAAAAGTATTTCATAATAAGCAGATTTTTACAACTGTGAAAATAATTTCATAATAATGAGCTGTATTTTTTAAATTGCTTAATTTACAATTTCATAGGCATATTATAAAATATTCCATATGTGTTTAAAATTTTATTATTTTATAATCTCTTGTTTATTTATTTCATTAAAAACACTGGAGCTCAACACGGAACTAGGAAATGCTGGACTTTTTACTTTAAAAATTAAATGATTTTAGAAACTTTTGTAGAATAATTTTCAATTGGATAGTCGTCTAGTTGGCTCATCATTTCAGAACCAACGTGTTTTTTTTTTTATATATTTTTTTTTAAATCTCGCCACTTAAGGCGAACAGAGACCACCCGCTATCTCAGCTTGCTGTGTGGACACCAAGCAGCTAGCTTGCTAATGCTAGCTGTACCGTTAGCGTACGAGAATCTATATACGGCCGGCATTTAAAATATGGTTCTAAAGCAAAATACAATAAATCCACTGGAGCCCGTTACTAACATGCTTACCCAATAAAGATGAACAAAACATCCAAACAGGCCCGAGGTTACCCGAATAACGTTAACATTCGGTGGAACTGACTTAGCATAAATACCGACATGTAACGATTAGCGCGTTACAGATGCTCTGCTATCTGCGCTTACCCAAATAAAACATGTCAACAGTGTCCGACCAGAATACTCTCAAGTATCGGTCAGAGTTAAGCGTCCCTTGAGAGATAAAACCGTGTTGTTTTGGTTTATTTCATCGCTCATCAGCTGATTAACCCTCCACTAACGTCATTTCTAAGAGCAGAGATGCCTGTAGGACCTTTGTGTGAAGCAATTTACGCCTTAGCAATGCCTGTTACGCAGTTGTTTTATGTTGGGTAATAAAATCAATGGTCTTCTATTAAAGACGCTTTTCAACATTTTAGATGATAAGATTTAAATGTAGTGGAATTCTCAATAATATATTTACGCACTTCTGGCGAGTTTATGTACACTTAATGTGCTGCATTCAAATACTCCTTGTGCATGCCCACTTCAAAGATCTCCGGTGAAGTTGGCTTCTGGGAGAAAAATAAAATGAACTCATGCATCATGTAAAAGCAGGATTGCAGCTAATGATTATTTGCATTATTGATTAAGATCCTGACCATTGGTTGTTTGGTTTGAAAAAATTAATAAAATAGAGAAGATTTTCATCACAATTAACCAAAGCCCAAAGTGACACCCTCACACCCTTATACTTTAAACACTTAAGTTATGTTTATGTAAAGTTTTATAGTTTTATTTGTTTTGTTTTTTTTCATACATTTAAAAGATCTCCACTGCAAACATGTGACTTATTTTAGGACTTATGCAGTAATGTTTTTTCTTTTGAACTTACAGTTTAACCAAATCAGGACCGGAAAACATCCCTGGGAGGGTTCTCGGGGTATGTGCCAGCGAGCTGGCTGATGTTCTCTCCACCATTTTCAATCTCTCCCTCATCCAGAGCATTGTTCCCACCTGCTTTAAGAACACAACCATCACAACCCTTCCCAAGCAGAGCCCGGTCACCTACCTGAACGACTACAGGCCAGTGGCACTCACCCCAATCATTATGAAGTGTTTTGAGAGAGTGGTGCTGCCCGCATTCAGAGCAGTATACCAGACACCCTGGACCCCCTGCAGTATGCCTACCGGTCCAACAGGGCCACCTCAGATACCATCGCGGCTACTCTCCACTATTCCCTTTCTCACCTGGAAAATGGAAACTCCTACATCCTGATACTCTTAATTGACTACAGCTCCGCCTTCAACACAGTTGTCCCCCACAAACTCACCCACAAACTGTCCACACTTTCTGACTGGCAGGCCCCAGACTGTCAGGATTGGCAATAGGACTTCAGCCAACATTGTTACAAACACTGGCACCCCACAGGGATGTGTCCTCAGTCCCATCCTCTACACCCTGTTCACCCACGACTGTGTCACCTCTCACAAAGACAACATCATCCTGAAGTTCCTGGACGACACTGCAGTGATAGGTCACATCACTGGCGGAGACGAAGCAGCCTACAGGAGGGAGGTGGCCGGTCTGGTGTCTTGGTGCAAGGACAATAATCTCAGCCTCAACACGGACAAGACGAAGGAGATGATAGTGGACATGAGTAAGGAGAGGAGATCTCATCAGCCACTGTTCACCTGGGGGCTCGAAGTGGAGAGGGTGAGCAGCTTCAAATACCTGGGTGTCCACATAAGTGAGGACCTCACTTGGACACAACACCACACAGCTGGTCAAGAAGGCCCAATGATGGCTGTACTTCCTGAGGAGGCTGATGAGGTTTGGCATGTCGCCTAGGATCCTTTGCAACTTCTACAGCTGCATCATTGAGAGCATCTTGACCAGCTGCATCACTGTCTGGTATGGCAGCACTACTGCTATGGACCGCCAGCGCCTGCAGAGAGTGGTAAAGACTGTTGAGAAGATCACCAGGACACCACTGCCCTTTCTGCAGAGCATTTACCACCGCAGGGTGCTTAGGAAAGCTGCCTCCATCCTCAAGGACCCCACCCACCCCCAGCATGGACTGTTCGCCTCCCTACCCTCTGGCCAGAGGTTCAGAAGTGTGAAATGCAGGACCTCTAGACTGAAAAACTCTTTCTTTCCCTCTGCCATCAGACTCCTAAACAGCTGAGGAGTTTATTACCAGGAAATATGTCATGTACTGATAACCTGTACTGTTTACATTCTCAGTTTGTACATGCATAATTGCACATTGACTGTTGACTGCTGCACATGCGGCTCCCATGCAGCATACATTCTCTTATTATATTCTTATATATTGTTATTATATTGCTGCATTTACTGCTTAAAGTGTTAGTGTTACTTATTTATCTACTTTATATTTCATTTGTATTTTGTGGCATTCATGTGGACGGCAAATTAAGAATTTCATTGTACAGGCAAACACGTTTCCTAAGTGCATATGACAAATAAACACTTTGACTTGACTTGAAATCTGTTTTGTGTGGTCCAGCAAGCTTTTGATGTGGGTAGTGGACTTGGATCTGATGTACTTGATGTTTTTTATGATATTGCTGCAGTTTCCCTCCTTCTATTCACGATTTAATTAATGCTATTATTACTATTTATTATTTTATTATGAATGCACTGTAATAATAGTTTTGTATAGGCACACTGGGTAACTCCACATACTGATTTCAAGAGTCAATGTTCATTACACGTAAAATAAACTGATGGTAAGCACTAAACTGAACTACAACCTGAAATGAACTAGAAAGTCGGTATTTTAAAAATAACAATGTGACCAATATAGTCACGAGGCACCAAAATGTATACCATTGAGACAAAATGCATAAAATAAACAAGGCAAAGGACCAGCCTTTAAATAACAAGAACATAATTAAATATACATTGGCACAAATCTTTCAAAGGCTGTGAGGTTTGTCTCCACTTCTATGTATGTGCGTTCTGGAAGACATTGTAGAGAAATAGCTGTAAATAGCTTACCATTGAATGTTAATGAAGGCAACATTAAGAAGTCTCGCGATAGCGCACACACACCGGGTAACATTAGGGTTCTGTGAACGCGGGTGCCCGAGAAAAAGCTTGCTAGCGCGAGTGTGCTATCTGTAACCAACCGGTGTGTCTTTCATTATAAACAACAGAATATTCTTCATTCAGCCTGAGAAAGTTCGGCGAATCCTCAGTGTCTCTTACACGGGATCATATATGTCACCTAATAACGGAGGATATATCTGAGTTGAACAGGAAATTCGATAAAAATGTCCGAAAGCGTAAACTACGTGGAACAGCGGGAAGAGCAGACCGAACTTGAAGACGCCGGAGGAGCGGAGGTAAGAAGGTTTAAAACGGGCATTTTCCCCTCTCATTATCGCGAACCTTTCATAAAAGCATACCGTATACCTCTGTCAGTCTGATACTCCCATTCCTTACCTACGTGTTTCTCTGATTCTGCTATGTGAAACTTTCACTTTGTCGGTGTTAATGCGTATTATTTGAGCTAACATTGGTTAGCTAGCTGCGGCGGTGCTATCATTAGCTCACACCAGCAGCAGCAGCTCGGTCCCATACACTCGGGGACCGAAGCTAACGTTACAACACAGAGCAGCAAGGAGGCCAGGCTGTTTCATAAGCCTCCGTACTACTAGCTTAGTCCCGCTAGCCACCCATTCATCATCCCATTAAAAGTCCCGGCGTGCTATTTGTTTATTCTCATACCAGATTCACTCAGCAGGTTTCTTGTAACTGACATGCAGCTTTTGGAAACCGTCGTTGCAACAAGTAAAAAGCAGCCCTCGGCTCAGCTGTCCCATCCGCGTCTTTTGTTTTCGGAGGGACAGCGCAGCGCTGTTGTTGTTTCCTAGAAGAGATGCCATTGCAGCGCTGCCTGCCTGAAAACTTTGTTTCCTTTGCATCTTTTGTTGAGTTCTGGCTAATATTCATAAAGATGGAATAATTTTTCAAATCTGTAAAGCTCAACAGTAATGATTAGGTAAACAGCCAGGTGCATGGTGTACACCAAGTGAAGCATGAAACAAAAATAAATGCATTCAATCCTACAAAGACTAACAAAAAGTAACTATAAGGTATGCTTGAGACAAAGATACAAGGTATAAGTAATATATTTAATAATGCCCTTAGGGGAATGAACAAGCATGTCTTAAATAGCCTGTTAGCAGCATGAAATGACTGTTACTACACTTAAAGCAACAAAAGTTGTTTGTGTTATAAGCAGTGCAGAAGGGAAAGCATGGCATGGCTGACTCTTGGTTTGCTATAGTGATAGCAGTAAGGACAAAAGACTGGTAGGTAGCGCTCTTTCACGTACAGTACTACAGGTCAAAGGTGATACTTGGAGCATTCATGGTTTCATGTAGTGGGCATTAATCTCTATTCTTTTGAGATAGAATACAGAGGGCATCCTAGAACAGAGTGAGCCTATCCTGTTGGTTTTAGTCTCTACCTACCTGCTGTTGATTGAAAAGAGGACAACCACTAAAAACATCTGTTCACTTTTTTCCTGCTCAGGAGAAGTCTGACTGTTCAGATGCTGGAAAAGAGTCCTCCTCAGATGGGCAAGATGCATCCTCTTCCTCCTCCTCCTCAACCAAAACTAAAGATTCTATGCCAGGATACGAGGAGAAAGTGGTAAGGACACTTGTGCTACAGCTCACATTGCATGTCACACCACCGTTTTTGGATAAATAAGTTAAAAAGACTTATTTTTTTTTGTGTGTGTGTAGCAAACAGACCGGACCAACAGATTTGAGTACCTGTTAAAGCAAACAGAGTTGTTTGCACATTTCATCCAACCTGCCGCACAGAAGACCCCAACCTCCCCCCTGAAGATGAAACCAGGACGTCCTCGCATCAAGAAAGACGAGAAACAAAACCTGCTGTCTGCCGGAGAGTGAGTACATGTCCACACAATACAGATTTATTTTATTTTATCAAGTCTAGTCCCATAATGGCTTTAACTTCTTTGGTCTTTTCTGTGTTTGACAGCAACCGTCATCGTCGCACAGAGCAAGAGGAGGACGAGGAACTTCTGAACGAGAGCACCAAGACTACTAATATCTGCACTCGCTTTGATGAATCTCCATCCTGTAAGCAATGATGTGATTTTATTGGTGCTTGAGAGGAAGTGATGTTAAGCATATGGTAAATACATATGATGAGCATAGGTGGTAATTATGTGTTTTCTTATTTCTAATCTAGATGTCAAAACAGGAAAAATGAGGGACTATCAGGTCCGTGGTCTGAACTGGCTCATCTCTTTGTATGAGAATGGAATTAACGGCATCCTTGCTGATGAAA